TGTATTAAAGATTTAGAAGAAGAAAAGAGGCTCTTTATCTTCAGAACTATTGGATGAGTTTCCTGAAGAATTCCCCAAATGTACCGTCATAATAGATAAAACCAATTAAATGGGCAATTAGGAGATGGGCTGGTAACTCACTAGCAAAAGTTCTCCTTGCCTTAAATACAGCCTGATAGAGGTGTACCCAAAGCGCTAAGCAGATGAATGATATGTCCCTCAAAGGGAGGCAAACTGAGATGAGGAAAATTTTGAGAAGCAGAATAGTATGGGGAGTTGCTCATTTGTAAAGACAGTTTGGAAAGACAGTCTATTTCTCCTTGAAAGATGGAAGGTAAAAAAATGATGAGGTAAATTAATAAACCCACGGTAATCAAGATTAGTTGCAATTCTTTCTAAATCTTCAAAGAATCATCTCTAAGAAAGCTCCTTGCATTTTGATCATGGTAAGTAAATTTAAGAAAAAAAATTAAAGTACAAATACAAAAAATTATTATTTACATTCTAAGTACTTTACAGGATATGTGGAGCTCTTCAAGTCTTTCATCCTCTATCCTATCTTATCATCAATTAAACCTATAAAATTGGCATGCCATAAAAATTGTACAATTTACCCATTTTTATTTTTTGGTGAATGGGAAAGCTTAAATCAGCATGTTTTTTGTTTTTTGGTTTTTTTTCAGCGTTTAGGACTTTTAAATTCTCCCAAAATTGCTGAAGCAAAATCATGATAAAACATTCTGCTTTCTTTATATCCCCCAACACACACACACACACACACACACACACACACACACACACACACAAACTATTTGTAGGAAAAAATGGTTTTGTACATGGGAAGAAACAATATAAATTCAAAACTTATAGATAAGGGTTAGCTCTATCACTCATTTCTTTAAAAAGTTTATATGAACATCTAGTCAAAACCAACAGTGTAGCTCCCTTGAAATGTTATCTATAAGGATTTCCAAGTAGACCACAGGACTGTATACTGTCCTGGAATGTCCTCAGAAGGCTCTGTCATTGATCAGGTAACAGAGTGAAAACCCCAGGGTTCTTTCTTTCAAATGGAAGAGGGAAAGACAAGAATAGAAGAAACTATTCAAAATACATCTTCTTTCCTTGTGGTTTATGGTCACAGCCGCTTTTCTGCTTCCCCAGAAGCCTCCTTGACCTCCAAAGCCTCCCCAGCCTTGGCCACCAAATCCTCCTCAGCCTCCAAAGCCACCTTCACCCTTAGGCTTAGCCCAATCCAAAATGACTTTGTTTCCATCAGTTTCACCATCTTTCATGGCCTCCTTGGCTACTTTGGCATCTTCCTCACTGTTAAGCAGCATGGTTTATGTACACGGTTCAAGAGACAAAGCCTTTGTAAACATGAAACCCATTTTCTTATTATTTCATGTTACTGTCATGGCAGAATATTGGCTTTTAATGCTGTTGATTGGATCCTAATGTGGTTGCTGAAGAAAGTAGACATTGGTGTTAGGAAATCCAGCAAGGCACCCCACTTTGTTTTATAATGCCACGGGTTTACATCTGATGGAAATTCTGCTGACAAGCCAAAAGGAATAGTTCCTGTAAGGAAGAAGCTCATAATGTATTTTTGACTCTGGAAAAATAGCTCTTGCTTAAGACCAAATTTTGTCTAAGTACTTTTTCTTTCAGTGTTTTCGTACTGAAGCCAGGACCACAGAGGCCTTGCCTTCTCAACTATGTTCTTCTGCTTCTTAACACTAAATCCATTCACTCAACTTTTCTTAGAAATCAAAACAAGGAAAACTATCACACAATCACACACACACACACACACACACACACACACACACCTCATGAAACTTCCTCTTCTGTTAGCTTAGTGCAATATGTAAATAACAGTATTCTTCACATATGTATATGGACATCTCACTGCCTTTTTTATAGGTCTATTTTCTCAAATGATAAGTGAAGTAAAGGAATTCTGTTTACACTATGGATATTCATTGTGCTTGTATCTATGGATTTGAAATTGATAAGTAAAATGAAAGACCTCTCAGTTTGTTAAAGAAATGTTCATTTTTTTCTCTAATTAAATAAAAAGACAGTAACAGCTTAGGGTGAACATAGGATAGAGCCTTCATAGAGAATATTAGACACTTAATTTGATACACAGTTCTTCCTAGTCAATGGTTTTGAACATTTTCTCACCTTATGTCGCATTTGCACCATCTGTCAGTAACTGAATAGAAATTCATAAATCTTTGTGTAGAAGGGATAATACAGCCTGTCCAACTGCCTACAGGAACAGAATTTGACTACCATCCAGGTTACCTTATTAACATTTTTTTTTTTTACTTTCCACACCAAAATAAAAGGAAAAACATAATATCCTTATTTATTATAATCACCATATGCTTTCTCATCTGTAGTGATCTATGCTAAGATCATTTGGGAAATCCCAGTAAAAGAATCTTGTGTTTGCGGCTGAGCATCATTGGGTCCCTATCTCAGAGGTTAGCACTGAGGAACAAATTTTCTTTTTTGTCTAAGGGTGTTTCTTTCTTCTTTATTACCTTTGCATCTCTTCCACTTCCTTGCTTTAGTGGGCTTGAAATAACACAGCTCATTTCTGTTTATAAAGTAGTACTATACCTACCCATGTACTGCAGTGATTCTCAGAATTCGGTTTGCATTAGAATCACCTGTAGGGTTTGTTAAACTACCAAATGCTGGGCTCCAATTCAGGAAATCCTAATTCAGTAGATTAGTGGGAAGGGTGATGGCTTTCATTTACTGCAAGTTCTTCTGTGCTGCTCATGCCATTGCTGATACCCAGAATCCACTTTCAGAGCCACTAGATACATAGTCGACACAGGAGAAAATACCCCCAACCACCAGTCAGGGACAATGCAGTTTTCTTAAGTGATTGTGTTGGCTCTAGAAGGTTATCTTTATTCGCTTAACTCTGTTATTTCTTTTATGGTTCCAGCTATTACAGATATCTATCTCCTAGTTATCTTGTGTACTGATACCTCGAGGTTTTTTCCTGATGCACCTTCACATTTCCTTCCAATCGCTCCCTCACTCACTCACATATGTACCCACAGATCTCCAACTGTCTTGCTCCTTCTTGCCATTTGCTTTTTCTCCAATTACCCCCTCCTCAGAGAGCTATTACCTAAACTCTCAATCTAAAATAACACCTCCTTCTCTTTCTACATTGCATTTTAACACATTTAAGATAATATTGGCTTATGTCTCCTTTACTTGGGGGAACTTAATGTTTTAACAATTCTATTTCTGGAATCTAGAACAGAGCCTAGGACAGTTTAATCCTGACAGTGATAGAGTATAAAAGATAAATCAGAAGTGGCAATCATATGGGAAATTTCAAAAATAGGAATTTGTAGGAGTTTATAATTTATTTCGCTCTAAGGACAAGGCTTGTGAGAGTCTTGAGTCTGTTGGTTAATAGCTAACATTTGTCCTAAGTTACAAACACTAATGGCCAGAATAAAAATTACTAAGCCATAAAGAATTATTTCCAGTCTTGGGCCCTCCTTTAGTGATCCACAAGACTTTATCAAAGATATATACTTGAGTTATTAACAAATAATTTTATTTATCTGGCAAAAAATACCTGTCATCCTCTAAGGATTGAGATGCTTTAAAATGGTAAGTGAAAATGGTTTGTGAAGTGCTTTAAATGAAATACAAAGGTAATGATTATACTTGTACGTTTTTACCTGCAAAAGTGACAAAATTCATTATTATATGGACTTTCTTTTCAAAGAGAGAATACTGGATTGCATTCCACAAAACATAGGAGAAGGTGACAAAATAATGAGAAAATCAATACTATCTAAAAAAAACTCAGAATATATGATTAAATAAGATCCCTCAAAAATAAATTATTCTTCTTGGTTATTATTCTTTAATGCTTTTTCTATTTCTGGAAAAATTCCAGAAATTTTCTTCCTTTTTTTATAATTAGGAAGGAGAGTTCAAAGCTTTCAAACTGAGTTCTCTTTACTGTGTTCTCAAAAAAAAAAAAAAAGAAAGAAAGAAAGAAAAGAAAAGAAAATGGAACTCAAATGGATTAAAGATAAGGAGGTAGGTGAGATGACAGGATGTGAAACAGTGGCCAAAATTCAAGGAACAGACCACAGGAAACACAGATCTATAACCAGATTGTTGTATTTCTCCAGAAACTACTTTACAAGGGGATCTAAATCCTGATTTCTTGGCAAAAACATGCCTTTTTTTTACTAGTTTCTATAGTCTCATTAGAATAATGCTGAATAGTAATAGACAAGCTTTAAGGTACTCATTCACTGTTCTGTAAGCTAAGAATCATTCTATCTAATGTTCCACATTAACAGTTATATTGGAGAATGAATTATATTTATATAAATATCTAAATTTTTTGGCCATAACTTTGTATTTTAAATTGTATGTGTGATAAGAATTTGTGTGTTCATGCAAGTGGTTGACATGAAAAGAGGAATTACTTCATATTGTTTTACTATGAAAGATGTCTCTGCAAAATTCTCATAATCACATACTGGAAAAGCACCAATTGAAACACACTTTGAAAAAGAACTTTCAGGAAGTGAGGAATCTTGATTCTGGTTCCAAATCTGACACACTAACAATATTGAAAGCTATAGCTCATTACCCAAAATGCATAGTGTTGACTTGGGATCAATTCTTAGTCCCTTTCAAGAGCTGTATTTCAAATTCTGATTTGGGGGTAAATTATGTTGTGTGGCTTCTGAGAACACTTACATGTATGCAAGATTTCTTCAAATAATTCAGACACACCTTTTTAAAAGAACTCCCTATGTATGAACTAGCGGAAATAGTTGAGCAAATTACAAGTCCATGGTTATCAGAGAAACGTTTTGGGGAGTCCTTGTAATGTCTTGGTTTACAGAACAGGTCCTGACACAGCAACTCTCTTGACTGTAGGCCGTATGAATGCACATCTGCTTGAAGTTCTGTCCCTCCAGGTCATCATGTCAGACTCCAACAACACCGGCACCTCCTTCTTCCTAACAGGCCTCCCAGGCCTTGAGGCTGTGTACACCTGGCTCTCCATCCCTCTGTGTGCCATGTATGTGGCATCTCTGGCAGGGAACAGCCTGATCCTCTGGGTGGTGAGGTCAGAGCCCTCCCTGCACCAGCCCATGTACTACTTTCTCTCCATGCTGTCAGTGACGGACCTGGGCCTGTCTGCCTCCACGCTGCCCACCATGCTCACCATCTACGCGCTGGGTCTCAGGGAGGTGGCAGTGGATGCGTGCCTGACCCAGCTCTTCTTCATCCACACCTTCTCCATCATGGAGTCCTCTGTGCTGCTGACCATGGCCTTTGACCGTGTGGTGGCCATCAGCAACCCCTTGCGCTATGGCACCATCCTCACGAGTCCCCGGATTGCCAGCCTGGGCCTGGCCATCCTGCTGCGTAGTGTGGGTCTTCACATCCCAGCCCCCATCATGCTGAAGAAGCTGCCTTACTGCCGCAACCGCCTGCTTTCCCACTCCTACTGCCTGCACCCCGATGTCATGAAGCTGGCCTGTGCTGACACCCGCATCAACAGTGCCTATGGTCTCTTCGTAGTGCTCTCCACTCTGGGTGTGGACGCAGTGCTCATCGTCCTCTCCTACGGGCTGATCCTCCATACAGTGCTGTCCATCGCCTCCAAAGCAGAGCGTCTCAAAGCCCTCAACACTTGTGCCTCCCACCTCTGTGCAGTGCTGCTCTTCTACACACCGATGATGGGCCTGTCCATGATCCACAGATTTGGGAGGTGGGCTTCCCCACGCAGCCGTGTGCTGCTCTCTTATCTTCACTTTCTCATTCCTCCAGTGCTCAATCCCATGGTTTATACCATTAAAACCAAGCAGATCCGTTTGAGGATGCTGCATCTCTTCTGGTGGAATAGAAGTAGCACTAGACACAAAGGAGGTAATTAAAATCTTCACTGGGCAGAATAAAGGCAGGGTGATGATCTTGCCATGTTGTAGCTGAATCAATGATTTTGTACCTGGCAAATTATACAGAGAACCAATTAAATTAAAACTCGTCCTCATTCTCAATTTCTTCACTCACTAATCGTTAGATATAATCCACATATTCATGTTTGTTTTATTAAAAACATACTTACTGAGCATTTGCCCTATCTTCTGAACTCTGCTAAAATCTAGAGATCAAAAGACAATTAAGTTACTGCCTCAGTTTGGAAAGTGAATTTCATAATCTTGAATTTCATAATTCTCTTCTCAGCAAAGAGAAGTAACCCAGGATCATCCTGTGGAGGGGCAAGAACAATAATCCAAACCTGGACCCTCCTAGGCAGGACAGACTTGCAGCTTGAAGGAACCAAGCATGGATTTCAGGCACGTGTAAGACTATTTCTCCAGGCTCTACTATCAATACCAAATCATTAGCTGCTCTGCTGTCATGGAGCCATGAGAGCCATCCATACTCAATATTGTCTTACTAACCATTTTTGTTATGGAAGTGTAAACTGGCTATGTTTTTATTTCAATCCACATTTGCCAGGCTTGGGAATTTTTTCCAAAATCTGTGGCTATCACAATACACTTTCTAATTGATTTTGTTTCCAGTCTGTGAATTGGCATTGCATATGTATATGTTGCTTATGACTTATTGTTTTAGGTGAATACTGTGTCTTTTTTCACTATCTGACCCAAAAAGCTCCTACTTCTCTATGCACTCTTAACATCTTTCTTGAAACTTGAGATAGATGTCTTGTTACGTTCCTTTGTTCATATTACGTTGTGTATCAAACCATAGATAATACAGTGACTTTACCTCACATACCATATTTTCACAACTTCAATCTAAAACTTTAGATTTTAGTTTTTAACCATGAAATTTCATATAATATTTTACTGGAAAGTAGACTCATTAGAGACCTAACAGAGTCATGTTTAAAATGCTTCCTTGACATTTATGCTACACTGAAGGGTATACATTTTGAAATTTGTTCATAGGCTACTGTCAAAAGGATCATATTCTTGTTTATAATATAAAGATATGAATAAATTATATGGGACCCAAAAGTATTGTTTGTTCATTTGTTTTTTTAACTAAAATACTGATACCTAAAATTCTTTTACTTCGAGAGCAAAAGAATAAGCTAGAAACAAGTATCTCCTTTCAGACATGGTTCATGAATTATTTCAAATGCCTCTAAAAGTCTGGTTTTATAACAATTTAAAATCAACAATGTTGATTTTAGATAACCCAGTAAGTAAAATACTACAAAATAATTTTAAGTATAAGCAAAAAATATAATCAAACTAATTTCAGATGTTGTGACCTGTGATGTCTTACTTTCCATGGTGCTGGGAGGAGGAAAGACAAAAGAAATTGCTTTTTTTTCTGCCTCACTCAGTGAAAGGGGGTAGTATTGGGGTACAGGAAGAAAAGCTAATAATAGGCTGGAAGTAATATTCTACCAGAAGGAACTCAACAGCTCCAGGTAAATGTTTTGATACAGTGGCTCTGTTGCAGAGCAAATATGAGATTTATTAAATTTCCTTCAAAGTATTTATCTTAAAAACATTATAAGTTTTTAATTATACTGCTGAATCAAACATGAAAGACAAAGATCAAGCATTGCAGTTATTCTTTCCTCTCAATATATATTAATGTTAGTAATATTGGAAGGTAAAAATATAAATAGGTTTTGGACAATATTTGCACTCTAGTTTATATTATGAAGGACAATTTTCAAAAAGAGCTAGAGAGAAAGATGTTTCTCATGCCAAGTTAACATGAATATTTGCTACAAAAAAACAAAACAACACACATGGATTGAAGATAAGCCATATCTGAACATGTATTTGTTGATTTTTGAAAACTAAATTAGGTTTAGTTAAAAAAAGCACAATGATAAGTATTAAAAAGCAAAATTATAAGTACTACCATATTCTTTGATAGACTCTGGGATATCATTAAACACTAAAAAGTAGTATATAGTAAAAGTGCTAATGTTCCCCAAGTACTTAAAGGAAGTATAAACATAAAGTCATATATTTTTATAACATATCACAGAAAATATTTATGCTAAATGTTTAATATAATAAATATAGTACTACAAAGTAGCAACCTTTTCATTCTTTAATAGTTCAAAATATCTTGAAAATCATTATGAAGAAACATTTTCATCTTTGCTGTATGAATTCTAGATAAATATTCATTTATTTCTTCAGCAACTATTTGACAGTTACTATGCTCAACTCTGGACATAAAGAGTTAAATAAATGGACATCCAAAAGAGATATGCCCCAACCTCCTGAACATTACGGCACATAGGTCAGAACAGGTTTTTTTTAAAAAAGTCAAATACAATAAAGTGGGTTGTCTGTAAATGTGCTGAAGGTTGAATTTTTATCCAACTGCAATAGAGACATATGACAAATGTTTGCCAAACAGGGGAAAGGAAAAGACATTCTATTAAAGAAAGGAATAATAAGAAGGGCTTGGTCCACTAACAGCTTTAGGAATTGAAGAAATGTACTGATGTTTAAAATGGTAGAGGTACATGAGGACAACTGTAGTTGAACAACAATAAAAAAAATAAAATAAAATGGTAGAGCTGAGAGCGAAAGGATGTAACTAGAATGAAGAGAGATGGACACTGAAGGGGTTGTAGAATTGCTGAGTTTGTAGGCCAGAATAAAGTGAGCAGATGTTATCTAGAGCAAAAAACTTAAACTTTGGAAATGTTTTATGAAGTAAAATTACATGGGAAATTAATATTAAATAAAAAACATAATTTTGATTGTTGTGTTCCAGTTATCACAGTTTAAGACACATACAAATGTTATAGTTCAACATTTCAGTTCATTTACTGAATTGTTGAATTCAGTAAGGTTCTTTCCTCGGTTCTGGAGAGTTAAAAAAGTCAAAAAATTTTTTCTATAGAAATAAAGGGAATCAGTCACAAGAGTGGATCTCTAGGGAACATAAGATTATCTGGCAATAAGAAAATGAGAAGACATTGAACCACAGAGAAGCTGTAGATTAAAGAGAGCTTATTCTCATAGAAGAAGTCCAGTAATAGACACAAAAAGGGGACAGAAATTTGATCAAATATTTTCATTATAGTTCTAATGGTGGAAAAAAAAAAACTATCTGGAATTGTAATATTTTGAATCCTCCATATAATCTTTTCATTCAAGTTTTATTTATGCTATTTCTTTCTTTTTTTTAATTTTATTTTAATTTATTTTTTCAAATACATTTGTCTCTGCCTACCCCCCACCACTTTCCCTTGCCTCCTACTTCCTCCCTCCCTCAGCCCTTCCCCTTTGGTTTTGTCCATGAGTCCTTGCTATATGTTCTTTGACTTTCCCCTTCCCTTCCTTTTCCCCCGCCCCGCCTCCCTCCTTCCCTCTTGTCTCTGTTGATTTCTTTTCTTTTCAGTGTTGCTGGTCTTATTTTCCTTGCATCTTTGTATTGTTGGTTAGGTTCCACTTATAGGTGAGATCATATGGTATTTGTCTTTCGCTCCCTGGCTTATTTCGCTTAGCATAATGTTCTCCAGGTCCATCCATGTTGTCGCGAAGTTTAGTAGTTCTTTTTTCCTTTCTGCTGCGTAGTATTCCATTGTGTATATGTACCATCATTTTTTGATCCAGTCATCTACTGATGGACACTTAGGTTGCTTCCAACACTTGGCTATTGTAAATTGTGCTGCTATGAACATTGGGGTGCATAGGTTCTTTTGAATTGGCGTTTTGGGATTCTTAGGGTATAGTCCCAGCAGGGGAATCAGTGGATCAAAAGGCAGTTCCATTTTCAGCTTTTTGAGGAAATTCCACATGGCTTTCCACAGTGGCTGCACCAGTCTGCATTCCCACCAAGAGTGTACTAGGGTTCCCTTTTCTCCACAGCCTCAACAGCACCTGTTCTTTGTTTATCTGTTTATGATGGCCATTCTGTTTCTTGTATCAAATATATAATATTCTAATTTTGTCATTTAACTATATTATTACAAGTCTTTCAAAATTTTCATTGTTACTGCATTATTTTCATTGTTAGAATACTTATATGAATTTACCAGTATACCTATTTTTATTATATTCCATACTTTCCATACTTGATTGTAAGTTCCAAAAGAACAGAGCCATTGTAAATTGTTCTTTGCTTCTGTGCTGATACTACATATAGGGTTTATGAATAAATTAATGACTGAATAAATAAATAAGCAACACCCCACAATGCCTTTCAATTTGGGATAAAATTTGATCGTATAATTTAGTGTGATAATGTGTGTGTGTGTGTGTGTATAAAAAATAGTTGTAGCTACTGTAGATATAGAATGTGAAAGATATATTGTGACTCTTAGAATGATATTTTTCTGCTGTTAGGACCTCACACCTGCTCTAATAAGCAAGTTTTCTATCATCACTGCTGAAAAATATTCTTGGCAGAATCTTTCACTTACATCATCGACAGTGAGGGAATAGTACCGACAGTGAAGGAATAGTAGTAGTTTCCCAGGAGCCTGGGGTCACGTGGCCCACAATGCTCTGCCCTTCTCCTCATAAATCTGGGCCTCTGACTCCCTGTACTATAAGGACTGGTAAGGAAATGAGCATTCCTGAAGCTGACTCAAGAGCAGCAGAGCAACAGCAGCCCTAGGCTGTCACTGTCACCTGCTATGCACAGTTAGTGGCACAGAGAGTCTAAAAGTCAATTAAGTTAGTGGCCTGGTTTGCCTAAAATAGTGAGGACATTGTCTGTAACCTCTGAGATGTAATACTAAGAAGGTTCCCTGTGAAATTATCTTGTGCTGTGGTTTCTCCCACAGACTTGGGCGGCCCTGGAATTCTACAACCTGTGCTATACTCTGAGTGGCTGCGCTATATTTGACCATCCTCAACAACAACAGACAGTTTAAATGAAACCGTGAATAAATATTTATCATACTTTGAAA